CTCCCAGCTGCTACCTTTGCCTTCTCTGTCATGGTGGTTCTTTTTTTCATATGGTTGACAGACAACAGGGGTAAAATCCACAGAATTGTGGGTGGGGAAGATTATGATCAAATGCATTATCAATCGAGTTGTCTTTTTTACATAAAGACAACAACTGTCAGATAGCAAAGGACTCCGAAAATATGCCATCTATGTGCCCTTTCTAAAAACTGCATAAAATTATACATCAGCTAATTATGAGATAAGTAAAAATAGAACTCAAGGGTCTACAAGAAAATAAACACTGATGTTTATTTTTTTCTTCTAGGAATCTATCTTAAGGACGTAATCTAAAATGTAGACAAAGAACTATGTACACAGTTATTAATAAGAGAAAAAAATGGAAACAATTTAGATATCCTAAATTGGAATATCCATATGACAGGTTATCTATCACTGAGAATGTTTATAAAGAGTTCTTGATTACATTGGGAAATACTTATGATATGAGCTTAATTTTAAAACATAGTTTCAAAAATAAAAAAAAAGACACAGAAAAAATACTGGAAGTAAATATGCCAAAATGTTAACAGTGGTTATCCCTGGGTAGTAAGATTCTGGATTTTGCGAGGGGGGGGGGTATGTATTTTTTTATGCTTTTCTAAACATTGTAAATGTTCCTCAATGATCCATATTAATTTTATAACCAGAAAGGAGTAAAATGTATATAATGTTTTTTAAAATGAAAACTCTTTCTTTCTTTTTTTTTGGTAGAGACAAGGTCTCACTGTGTTGCCCAGCTGGTCTTGAACTCCCGGCCTCAAGTAAACCTCCTGCCTCGGGTTCCCACAGTGCTGAGACTACATGCATGAGCTACCATGCCAAGCCAAAAAATGAAAACTTCTAACAGTAATAACAGATAAGAACTTAGCTGGGCAATATCAAATAAGGAAAATAAAACACTATGCTACTGGCTCTGGTAGTATAGTCTACAATATATTCATAACACAGCAGAGTATCCTTTAAAAGAGTGAAAAGTCAGATCATGTCTCTGCTCTACTCAAGACCCTCCAAAAGCTCCCACATTTTGTGAGTATAAAAGCCAAAGTCCTTACAACGGTCTCCAAGGACCAACACAATCTGACCTCCCACCACATCTCTGACCTACTCTTCCCAACACCAACCCCAGTCATACTGGTCTCCATGCTGTGCCTCAACTCCACCAAGCACACACCTGCCTCAGGGCCTTTGCACTTGCTGTACCCCTACTTGGAATGCTTTCCCTCCACATAGCCATATAGTGTGCTTCAGATCTCTGCTCCAAGGTCATTTTATCAGTGAGCCCCTCCCTGATCCCTATATAAAGGGGCAACTACTAAAGGAGCAACCACTGTTCCCAGCACTGCTTCTGTGACACGGCAGAATTTACTGTGTCTGTTTCTCCCTCTCCCACTGGAAGAGCCGATTTGCCTGGCACAGAGAAGGTGCTCCATAAACACGTGTTGAATGCCTAAATGAACAAATGCATCAGACCGCAAGCTCCTCAAGGGCAGAGGGGCTCAGGCTCACACTGCTGCACAGTGAAAGTGCATAAAACAGGCAGCCACGCCGACCTGACGGCCCCAGGAACATTTAAGCAGCATTTGACTCATTCCAGAAAAAAATACTTATAATTACAGCCAGAGACAAGGACAGTGAAGCACCAAAACGAAAGAAGATAAGAGCGCTTGGGCAGAAAGGTACCAGAGTTCCCATCAGAAAATCCAAGCTCTTCCATTAGGATTTGGCTTTTGCCGCAGGATGGAACTCCACATTTTTATCACAGACTCAGACCCAGCTTAAAATCTGACATTTTAAATGCCCTTTCTATTTAGCTCTCTTCATTACGATTAGATATTTTCCTAAGAAAAAAGGCATTTGGAAACCGATTACCCCGGCCTTCTCCTACCCCAAAGCAGACGGGAAAATCCAGCACACGGGTCTGGCACCCACAGGCACCCAGACCACACACCATGTGCACGTTCGCGGCCCCACCTGGGCCTACTAGATGTCTGCCATGGGCCTGGTGCTGCAGAGAGGGAACGTTCTTGATCTTGCAAAGTTTTATTGGCCTCTAAAAATTCAAGGACAAAGTGATAGCATAATGCACAGCCTCATATTCTTGGCCTTAGGAAAGATAAGAAAATTTATCTAAGCTATTTCAGACTTTTCTGGGCACTGGAGTGTGCCGGAGATTAGGGCGGGCTGGTGGGCGTCCCTCCCCGTGTGGTAGCTCAGGACTACTAAGGAGTGTGAGGGTGACTCGTGGTGAGGCTGGACGGGGCAGCGGCCTCAGCTGCCCTCCGCTAAATCAGTAAGTTTGCTAAATTCGTCTTTCCTTCCATCCATCTTCTTTTCCTTGACAGCTCCTTCATCTCGGCCCTCCCACAGCTCAGCTGCAACCATCATGTCAGTCTGCTGTGTCTCCCAAGAAGATAAGGTTTTAAGAAATTTCCTCTCTCCTAGATATCTGCATCATTTTTATTTCTTTGAGACAGAGTCTCACTCTGTTGCCCAGGCTGGGGTACAGTAGCATCATCATAGCTCACTGCAGCCTTGAACTCCTGGCTCAAGGGATCCTCCTGCCTCAGCCTCCTGAGTAGCTGGGTCTACAAGTGGGCGCCACCACACTCAGCTAATTTTTAAAATTATTTTTGAAGAGACGGGGTCTCACTATGTTAGCCAGGCTGGTCTTGAACTCTGGCCTCTAGCGATCCTCCTGCCTCAGCCTCCCAAAGTGCTATCATTACAAGCATGAGCCACTGTGCCCTGCCGATATCTGCATCCTAAAAGGGAGCCCCCAAAGACTGGAAGGACTTCAAGTTCAAAGGGGAAACTTCTGGCTGGGGAGGAAGGGACGCCTCGAATATTAATATTTATGGAGCACCTACTCTGTGCCAGACATTTGGTACACTTTAACATTCTTGCTGAATTCTCACAGGAACTCCATGAAGTAGGTATTACCATCCCCATCTCGGGATGAGGAATCAGGGACTTCCAGGTAAGACAGCACACTAGTTTATACCGTGAGGCCCTGCCTGTGGCCTTCCCTGTTCCAAAGACACAGCAATAATAGATGAAAATATTTTAAAAGCAACAAGCAAACTTGTCTGTGCTCCAAAACAAGATATATATCTCAATGGATCAGAAACTCGAAATATTTACTATTTTGAGGGCTGAAGGCACAGTCTGCTGAGCTCTGGGTTCAGACACAGGTGGCTGCAGCTGGGAGACTGGTCCTCCAGGGCACGGGGACTAAAAGTGTCCCTGGGGAGGTGGGGGCCGAGAGCTGAGTCACTGAAATGGGGATGGTGAGTGGGTTTCCCACCTGGGAAAGGAGGCTGAAAACCGAGACTAGAGGGAACTGAAGAAAGCGAGTTCAGAGGAGAGGACGCCGGCAGTGGCACACACAGCGGGGCCTGGGCCAGGCTGCCGGGGCTGCAATGCCTGGCTGTGGGGATAACCCCACTGTCGCTGTGGACAAGCAGCTCACCATGAACCCAGGGACCCAGGACCTAGGTGGAGGCAGCCACAAAACCACTAGGCGAGGAGAGCAGGGTGGCAAAGAGAGAGACATGGACTCCCGCCCTAGATGAGCACACAAACTGCAATTCCAAAACACCGAGGAAAACTAGCCCCGAGACAACCTACAAATCCAACAGGTGGGGGACGGTCCCATGGAGAGACTGGGTGACTTGGGAAGCAGAACTGAAGAATTTACCCCGAGAGTAGGGCAGAAAGACAAAGAAATAAACAGGCAAGGGCAGCTGGGAGCTGTGGAGGGTGGTTGCGAGGCTCCAAAACGTATCCAGAGGGATTTCCAGAGAGGAGAGAGAGAACGGCAGGGCAGCAACATTCAAGGATGTTATGAGAACTTTCTAGAACTGAAGAGGTTTTATGGATCCTCAGATTAAAAGCACCTACCCAGGGCCAAGCAAGATTAAAAAACCAACAAACCGACAGGAATCTGGGAAAGCAGGGGCTCATTCCGCCCCCGCCCGCCTGGCCCTTCCCAGCAGCGGCTGCTGCGTTTCAGCTCCACTCCGACCTGGTACCATGGGGAGAGCCCGGGGCTTGGGGTCAGGAGATGTCCTAGCCGTCCCCACCCCCAGCTGCCGCAGAGCCCTTGCCGAGTCTTGACTTCCTCCCCTAAAATGGGGCTGGAACCTCAGCACCGGAAGGGACGCTGGGGGTGGCACCCTCGCGCAGACCACGGCTGCGCTCGATCTCCAGCTCCCCCACTAACTGGCCCGGCGCTCGCAAGTTACGTAACCTCGTGTCTCTGTCTCCCCACCAGGAAAAGGGGCCAAGAATAGCACCCACCTACGGGTTGTGCAAGGATGAAATGGTTGGCTGTGGTCCCCAACCTAACCTGGTGCTGTTAGGGACCAGGCTGCAGAGCTCCGCCGCCCTCTCCCCTCCCCCATGCTCCCCCTTCCCCCCGAAAAACTGTCTTCTGTGAATCACTCGCATCACGCCTGAGCTCTGCCTCCTGTCAGGTGAGCACCGGGGAGCGGCTGCAAGTGTAATAAATGTAATGCACTTGAATCTTCCCCAAACCATCCTATCCCCGTGGAAAAGTTGTCTTCCATGAAGCTGGTCCCTGGTGCCAAAAGGCTTGGGGACTGCTAAGTCGTAAGGGACTTAGCACAGTGCCAGGCACACAGCAGACGCTCAACCTGGGGTAGCTGCCACTACCACTGTAATAGTCCCCCACCAGATGCCATGTGCACACACACTCACCGTGCGAGGGGCTGCACACTGAAACCACAGGGCCCCTGGGTACAGAGCCATGGCCCACTGCCACCCCTGCACTAGGGAGATGGGCAAGCCAGCAGCTTGTCCCACCCCACGCGCCTCCCTGGACGCCCTGGGCAGTCCCTTCTTGACCTCCAGAGAAGCCCCTCCCAGCGGCCAACCATCCACTCCCCGTATGCCAGCCCTACCCAGCCCACCCCGCCCCGCCGCCGCGGACACCCTACCTCTCTCTGCTCGCTGCAGATCTTACACAGCCACAGGGGCCGCTTCTGGCCAGGGCAGGCCTCGATCCCACATTTGGTGCAGACTTTCTACAAGAGAGAGGACACGGGTCGTGAATATTTCAGCCACTTCCTCTCAGTGAAGGGGCTGGGACAACTCTAACCAAGGGACACTTTGGTATCTTCCAAGGGGATGGCTCTTGCTTCACGCTGGAAGGGCAGATCACCCAGAAGACACAGAGAGCCTGCAAGTCCTTAGCTGGTTTTGGGTACCACGGCTGTGCCCCATCCATGGATCTCTGCGATAAACATTCCCTCCACAGTTAATCAACACGCTCGCCGATACTCACGGCTGCATCATTTTTAATAGCAAAGAACTAGAAACCACTCAAACGCCCAACACCAGGGAAGATCCAGGCAAACACGACAGAATGCGGTGTGGCCTTTACGTAGCAGGTTGTGGCACTAACTGGGTGTGTGGGCAGGAAATAATGCCATTCAACAAAGAAAACATACATCTGTATATGATCATACAAAAAAACTCACCTATGTGCCTGATAGGTTGCTAGTGACTACCTGAGCACCTACTTTGTGCCAAGTCCCACTGAACAATCCTAGCACATGGAAGCTTTAGGCCTGTTTCACAGGTGAGGACCCTGGGGCTTGGAGGAGTCTGAGAATTTGCCCAAGTTCACACAGCAAGTATGTCCTGGATTCAGGTCTGACTCTAGAGCCGTTTTATCATTTTCTCTGGACACAGAAATAATCAGAACCTAGATTCTACAGTGTTTTTCCTTCTACAGAGTTGTTTAAACTCGTAATGTCTAAATACAGTCAGTCATGTGTTGCTTAACAATGGGGATGCGTTCTGAGAATTGCATCATTAGGTGATTTCGTCATCGGGTGAATGTCACAGAGTCTCACGCAGACCAGATGGCACAGCCTGCTGCACACCTAGGCTAGGTGCTACAGCCGATTGCTCCCGGGCTGCAAACCTGCACAGCACGCTACTGTGCTGAATGCCGTAGGTAGTTGTAAGGCAGTGGTAAATGTCTGTGTATCTAAACTTAGAAAAGGCACAGTAAAAATACAGTATAATCTTCTGGAACTAGCACCATATACATAGTCTGCTGTTGACCAAAACGTCCTTATGTGATGCAAGACTACTTATTTTGCTTCCCCTAAATGCATAGCAACAAGCAGAGGTGGGAAAGGCCGAAAGAAACACGCTGGGAGGCAGAGGTGGATTTGTTGGGGCTGAGACTGGCTCCGGGCTAACTCAGGCAGAGTATGATTCAGCGATCTCTGGCAACTCCTCCTCGGAGGACTGTTGCTCCAGCTCATCAATCTTTCTGCCACATGGAAGCCACCCGGTCCCCATGAGGGTGGGGGCTCTCTCCAGTCCCCTACCGAGGGAAGGCTAGATCTGCTGCTTGGCCTTTTCTGCAGGCTGCCAACTGAGCAAGGAGCACACCTCTCTATGGAGAGGGAAATGTCACCGACTTGGCTTCTCAAAGCATGTCGTCACTGGCCTGATTGGGTGGCTGAGCTCAGTGCTGCAGGAGCGGGCGGAGCCAGCTCTCCGGGAAAGGAAGCTATGATACATTGGGGCCGTCTGGGGGGAGATGGATTTGCTACCACCCAACGCTCAGGTATGAGAAATGTCACTTTCTTTTATTTCTCCAAATGAAATGTAATCCGCTCCAAGCTCCTGCCCCTCTGGGCTGGCAATAAATTCCATCCCAGGTCCCAGCCACGATAGAGGCCCCTCCCTGGCTCTTCTGAAGGCCCCAGGTTTGGGGTCTTTGGTGGTCCTGTACATCTGCGGAGGGTCCCCTGGGTGCTGTCCACACTGTTCACTGCTAGGCTCCAAGCTCTCATGGTCCCTTGAAAGGAGGGCGGGGCACTTGGCCACTTCTGCGCCAATCTTGGGTTTGGATCTTTGCCAGGGACCATCAGCCAGTCTCCGTGGATGTGAGCCACCATCCCTGACACGGTCTGGGATCTCTCCCCTTCTCCGCAAGAGCTACCTCTCTCCAGCCCTCCCACGTTCCACCCCAATCCTTCTACCTCTAGGACAGGGTCCCTTTACCCAGGGGCTCTCCTCCCTGGGGAAAGGGGAAAGGAAGGAGGCACCGAAGCCAGCTGGCTCCACTTGCCTTGCTAATTCCCACTCTCCGATCTGTATATGGTGCACGTGCGGATGAGTGTGGCCTCCTGGAGAGGGAGTTTTTCCTCCCGCACTCTTTACACACTCACGGGGCTTAAGTACAACCCACCCTGCAAACACACAGAGTGTTCTGTCCCTCCCAAGGCTGTTGACGGAGACAATGGTGCCGGGAACGAGGAGGGACTGAAACAGCAGTGATGACCATTTACTGAGCAGTTACGTGCACCAGGCACACAGCCCTGGCCGCAAAGCACGAAGGAGGCGGGTATCACGATCCCTGTTGTACAGAGGAAGAAGTGGAAGCTCAGAGATGTGGCAGACTGCCCAGGTGTCAGGCTGGTCCCACGGCTATGAAGCTGGTTCCACTCAGGCAGGTCCCTGCAGATGTGGCTGACGGCTCCCAGATGAATGAACAGAGGAGGTAACACGGGCTGACCCTGGAACAAGGCTTTGCTGGGATATGGGTGCAGCTGGCACATGCTCACCAGCTCCCTGACCCCGGTTCTAGGAGCAGCCGCTCGGGCTGGGGAGTCTGTCTCTGCCCTCTGTGCCATCTCTCAGGAGGGAGGACAGAAGTTTCCAGCTGTAGGCAGGAAGCCCAGGCCCAGGGGCCTCCCCACTGACACCCCGCAGGTGTCCCCACAACCTGGCCTCTCAGGTGGCCGCCCTCCCTTACATGCGCAGCAAAGGGGACACAGGGCAGTCTCTGCCCCTGTCATAATCAGCTCAGGCAGCCATGATGAAATATCGTAGACTGCGTGGCTTAAACAATAGATGCTTATTTCTCACAGTTCTGGGGGCCTGAAGTCCCAGATCAGGGGCCAGCATGGCTGGGTTCTGGTGAAAACCCTCTTCCTGGTCTGCAGATGGCAGCCTTCTTGCTGTATCTTCACGTGGTGGACAGAGAGAGCTCTAGTCTCTTCTTCTTCTTCTGAGGGCATCAAACCCATCATGGGGGCTCCACCCACATGAACTCACCTAACCCTAATTACCTCCCAAAGGCCCCACCTCCAAACATCATCACACTGGGGGGAGGGCTTCAACACAGGGATTTGAGGGGATACATTCAGTTCATAGCAGCACCCCCTCCCCAGGACGGGACCCCTAGATATGGGTGCCTCTCATTGCCTCTCTCAACCCTGGAGTCACTTAGCACCCTCAATCCTCCCGGGCACTCTGCTCGCACCATCCGGCACTGCCAGCGGTGGGGCGGCATGGTGCCAGGGCACAGGCTTTGCGCGCAGCAGGCCTCAGTGGGTCCTTGGGGAAGCTGCTCAAAGCCTAAGCTTCAGATGTTCTCATCTGTGAAATGGGATAATAGAATTTATCCCCTAGGGTTGTTTTGAGGATTAACTGAGATACACATAAAAGCAACCAGCGCACAACATGCACTCAATAAATGCCACTCACCGTTACTATCGGTGACAACCCCCCGACCCTGTTCTCCAACCTTGCGCGACTCTCCTCTAGACACACACTGTTGAACACGGCAACCGCCAGCCACAGGTGGCTATTTACATTGAAATTAATTACAATTAAATAAAACGAAAACCTCAGTTCCTCAGCCACACTGAGCACATTTCAGGTGCTCCACTGCCACATGCGCCTGGTGGCTACTGTATGGGACAGCACAAAAACAAAACATTTTGTCATCACGGGAAGTTCTGCTGGGTGGTGCCAAGCCGGAGGACCCCGCCCTCTGTCTCTTGGCACTCAGGACTCTCGATCTGCACCAACTGCTTGCTCCCGACGCCCCTCCACAGCTCCCGCTTCCAACTGGTCAGACGGACGTGTCCCAGTCCATCAACTGCCACCCGCCCTCTGATTTCCTGATCCACAGGCCATCACCTGCTGAGTGCCCATGCGGAGCACAGCCCTGTGTTGGCAGGACACAGAGGCACAGGGCAGGGCCAGGCCCCACGGCGCAGCCAGCGATGCACTAAACGCTCGCAAAGAGTCACCCTGCCAAGGCTGAGGGGGAGCTTGCTGAGCGGCAGGAGTGGCAGTTAAGCGGAGTTTTGAAGGATGAGCGTGCACAAGCCCACGATACGTATCGTCTGACTGATTAAACATCTATGCTGCTGGGGGCAAGGAAAGGCGCTAGGAGAGAGTGCGCCGAAACCGCGTGGCTGGCCGGGTGGAGAGAAAAACACCCCCATTCCACCTCAGGCAGAGAAGGGGGCAGCGAGGGCTGCCCCGCGCACAGCCCTGTTTTCAGGCTCCCAGCCACCACCGGTGGCAGCCGCGGTCAGGTCTGCCATCTCTCGGTCACCTTTACATGCCTGCAGCGTCTCCGGCTGGCAGGGGGCAGGACGCACTCCTAAGAGGCTAGGGCCGCAGAAAGATAACATGCTCCAGTTCAAATAATACATAACTGCTGCTCTATTAAGTCTCAGATCAATAAGAGAATAACGAGCCTCTCCCCTTATGGACTTGGTCTCTGTTCCCAGGTTCCAATACAGAAAATTAAACAGGTGGTATTAAGAAAAAAAAGCCCATGAGCCAGCTTCTACAACAACTTGGTGCAAACAGAAAACTTCACAATCTGTGTCAAGGACAGTCCCTGGGCCCAGGGGTGGCCACTTGCTTCCCTGCCCAAGATGGGCTTCCTTTGAGCAGATCTGCCCTGGGCAAGTGAGTACTGGCTTTCCGGGCTTGGCTGCCTCATGCATCTTGCAGCCTGGAACTGTGTCTGAGCGTTAAACACACTGAGACCAGCTTCTGGCCTTGACTCAGAGCAAAGAGATAAAACTCTAGGCCTTGAGACCACACGTCCTCCCTCCTCACTCCTGCTTCAGTCCCTCTGTGTATTTCTTTTGCAAATGTATATCTCACCCCTCAGAACACAGAGGAGGGGATGCCCTAGGAATTCACCTGCAGGACACAGGCCTTGGGGCAGGAGAGAGCAGAGTGTGCCATT